TTCCTCCTCACTTCTTGATTAATATTGCCCCTGCCATTCTCCCTTCTCTTCTCCATATTATTAATGTCATTTTTTACTGGTTCATTTCTTTCTGAATGTGAACATGCTACTGTTTCCAATTCTTAAGAACCTTCACTTGATCCATCTACTCTTTTTAATTATCATCCTGTTTCACTGTTGCCTTTCCTCTTGAAAGTTTTGGAACATGTCATTTATATACGTTGCCTTTCTCATATTTCTGTAATGGATCCTGATAAGGCATACTGAGAGCAAATACCAAAGCAATATGCAAAACCAGTAAGAGGAACCAGTATGAAAATATTATGACAATAGAACAGAAAAAGTATGCTCGACTTTGCTTTAGTTCACTAAGAGAAAGCCAATGATCATGTTAGTGTCATCTTGATAGAGGAGGATAGGTTGCTCACCTGTAACTATTTCTTCGAGTGGTCATCTGCGAATTCACACAAATGGGTGAATTCTTTTACCAGCCATCAAATGCTATCAGTCAAGGCAATCACGCCTTCTACTGGGCTTCTCCCTACTGACTTCTCATCTAGCAGAACTGTTATGATATTCTCATGAAATAAGTTGGAGAACTGTACCCAGGACCTTCTGCATGCAAAATATATACTCTACTCAGTAGTCCTTAACCTTTGGTCCTTCAGAGATTTTGGATTTCAAAATTCATTTACTATGTAGCTATTCTGGCTTGGACTTCTGAGAAGTAACTAAAACATGAGAAAGCAGAGTCTGACAGAGAAGGTATAAAATGGAAAGTCTGTACTTGCAATGAAGCTCCCTTTTTTGCTGCAGACAAGCCTATCTTGATCTAGATTATCTCCTTCCACCAAGCAATGGGTAGGGTCTATATGAATTGACACCAAACTCTACCTTGGGGAGGGGGATAACCCATTCAATTTCAATTAGTCAACTCAGTCTTTCTGCTGTAGAGGACAGTATCCTGATCTGGGATGTACCAAAATCATTCATAGTTTCTTGGGGGGCGGGGAAACAAAACTGTGGCAGGATCTACATTCAGTTGGGAGTTTTTTAGGTACTTTGACATGTATCTGACGCTTGTTCTATGTTGTCCTCTGGTTGAAAGACCAGTAATTGTAACAGCCTTCTTTAAAATGGGGCCAAAATCATCAGTCATGAAAAGCCACACTCCACAGGCTTATGGGCAACCTCCTCCCCTTGAAATAATGTCCCATCCTCTTATAAAATAGGAGGAGAGAGACTCAGGGTGCCCAGAAGTGATTACTGATTTGCTAACTGGCGCCACAGAGTGTTGTGAGGCAGACACCCTCTCCCTTTTCCTGGCACTTCTTAGATGCTCTAGCAGTTGCAGCCAAAGGCCTGCATATTCTAAGAGAGAGAGAGGTCACATAATTGAAAAGAATTATAGCACATGCAAGTACTTCCTAGTGTCCCAATCTGGAGATGGTTCCTGGCTTCAGATGAAACTGACAATGGACTGTTCTCAATATCCATACCCCCCTTCACAAGCCTAAATGAGGGAAGAAGTTGGTCTTAATTGCAAGAAAGAGTAAGCCCCTGCTCATACAGTAGGACCATACAACACCCAGTTTTTTCAGTCAGGCAAAACAGACAATGTACGCAGGTGCCTGCCCATGTTGCTACAGTAACTCAACCCAGGATTGAAATAACCCAGATCAAGATACCCTTACCTACTAAAGGAAGAAGGAAAATGCAGTGCTCACACACCCACAAATGTGAATGAGATGCTGAAGCAGCCTGACACATTTTGCTTCTTCTGCCAAAGCTGCACTCAGAATACTGCTGCATTTAATATAGACCAAATTATTTCCCCTCACTTCCTTCTCACCTGGAGCTATTCTGAAAACCCAATCCAAGGAATCAAAGGTTGCCAAGACAAAAAACATTATACATTGGACAATTAGCCTACCCTTTGGTTGGACTTGCTTGTGTGTCAGACATATATATACATTTCCTCTTGGAAGGTGCATCTTCCTCGTCATCAGATGAGCTCTCAACAGTTAGGTCAATGACATCAACTTTCTTTTTGCTGACCTCACTGATGGGCGTGGCGCATGGCTTGCTGACTACACTGGAACCTGGAAGGAGCACAGTCAAGTATAGGATAAACCAATTATGTTATGGGGAAGAGTAATGTGTACTTCCAGTAATGATATGTTCACAAGTAAGCTATACTGATTTTTATGATGTTTGAAGTGTTTTGCCAATTGTTACAACTTTGAGAATTAAGTTTTTTTTTCTTTCCACAGCAGCCTTGTTCATACGGAAAGGTATATAAGACCAGGTCCTCTACTGGCCATCTTTCTTCCCCATGCAGGGAAAGAGGGATTCCAAATCATTTTTATTGTGTTGGGCTTCATCGTTTTATCAAAGTGTCCAGTAGTGGAATGAACTGATGACATCCTACAATCTTGTATACTTGTTAAGAGAGTTTTGTCTGACACCATAGCACGATGATGAGAAAATTCATTGCTGGACTCATCTGTGTGCAAGGGATCATGGAGACCTTATGAGGTTGTTGATGCTGGGCTGCTAATGCTAAACTGTTTTAATCTTGAAATGGAAAGACACAAGATTTAAAAAAAAAAAGAATAGGAGGAATGCCTGTCATTTTAATGGGTATACTTTATTCCTCTGCTTTAAAAGTATGCATTTTCCTTCTGTTTTCATGGAATTGGTCAATAATTTCATTCATTACAGTCTTAACTGTCTGGATGAACAGAGGATAGCCTGGGAACAAACAGGTGCTTCATTTGGAAGATCTAAGTTGTTGCCTTTACCTAATGAGAGACAGATGGTTGGAAGGTTGTGGAGCTACTTTCCAACAAATTCTCTGCTGATATATGGAAACTAGTTGAGATCAGATAGACCACTCTCTGTTGCCATCTGGTAGCTTAGAAGGGGAATGCACTTCACATGGTTTTCTTTCAAATCAGATAATAAAAACCGAGCAGCAGATCCTGCTTGCTGCTAAGGGTATTCCTCATTTCCATTTGGGAAGCCTAAACTTTTTTTTTGTGAGGAGGGCTATCCATTAGTGCTGCTCTCGAATGACAAAGCTGGCAGCTGAGGCAAGCTAAGAAACAGCTCACATCTCTTTTTAGCTTCATTTTTTCTGGGTTATTAGGGGCTTGTAAATCCCAGGACTTAGTCTGCAGCATGGAAGGACTGATGCTTGGGTGCAGAAGTCTTATGTGTCCAGACTTCATTGGGAAATGTGTCTCTGTTGATGCTATGAGAAGCCAAATGAGGAGAAATTCTGAGTATTTTTTAAAAGGGAGAACAAAATTAGAAGGCAATACTAAGGGCACTGAAAATAAAGTGAAGAAATAAAAAAAAAATAGATGAAAGGAGATCTGAAGTAAATAGGTCAGAGGGATATTTCTGTGGGAAGCGAGCAAATATTTGTGATTGCCCCCTGAGAAAGATACAGAACAAACTGGTGAAGGCTGCTTTCAGGGAAGCCAAAGTATCAGAAAGGTCCTTCCTCTTGAATGAGGAGAAGTGTAAGGTAATCTAGACACTCACTCATACTAACACATAAAAGTATGCTAAAACTCATGTCACTTACTTTCTATTTTGCTGCACTGTGGGCCAACGACCTTCAAAGGCTCCTTCTTTGGCCTCATTGGACACCAGGAACCATCTTCCTGGAATTTGATCTCGTCAACATCTGAACATTCATTCAGAATTTCCATAAAGAGTCTGAAAAACAACATTAAACTTTACCAGTTTGTTTCCATCAACAGTTCCGATACTGCCTTTACTCCATAGTGAAATGGACATCCTCTTTTTGTTGTACTGGCTATTACCACTGTTAATTATTGCTTCTGTTGTTCTTGTTGTGTGCCTTCAATTAGTTTTTGACTTAGGGTGACAATAAGGCAACCCTATCACTGGATTTTCTGAGACTTAGAGTGTGTGACTTGCCCAAGGCCACCCAGTTGGTTTCCATGGCCAAAAACAAATCCAACCCTGGCTTACAGAGTCATAGTCCAAGGCTTAAACCACTACACCATGCTGGCTTCTCTTGCTTAGTAGTTTATTGCTTACCAGCCCATAGTACATCCTACCAGCAGGTATTCTGGGGCTGGAGAAAGGATATTTTTACCAGCGTGAAAACCTCATATTTGCTTTCTGGAGGGAAAAGTACCACACAGAAGTTGCACCCACACTACAGAGATAATCCAGTTTGACACTGCTTTAACTGCCATGGCTCAATGTTAGAGTATCCTGGGATTTGTAGTTTGTTGTAGGACCAGAGCTCTCTAACAGAGAAGACTAAATAGCTCACAAAACTACAGTTCCCAGAATTCCACAGCACTGAGCCATGACAATTAAAGTGGTGTCAAACTGCATTGTTTCTCCATTATGGATACTGCCAGAGAGATTCTTTTGTAAATACTTTTTAAAAATAAAAGTTGTCTTCTAAAGGTTGATTATCCCTTACCCCAAATGCTTGAGACCAGAAGTGTTTGGGATTTTGGACTTTTTTGGATTTTAGAATATCTGCATATACATAACGATATATCTTGGAGATGGGATTAAGACTAAGCATGAAATTTATTTATGTTTTGTATACACTTTATAAACATAACCTGAAGGCAATTTTATATGCTATAATTTAAATAGTTTTGTGCAAAAAACAAAGTTTATGTGCACTGAACTATCAGGAAGCAAAGGTGTCACTATCTTAAGACACCCATGTGGACAATTTTGGATTGTGGAATATTTTGGATTTCAGAATTCGGGATAAGGGATATTCAACCTGTAGAACTTTTTGCTGTTTTCTATTTGGACTTCATAAACCATTATGAATATTATTGGGAAATGAAGTTAATGCTACCACACTTGTTTCTATAAACATCTTATTACACAATTCGATACACTAGGTTCTACAAGATTCAACACAAATTCGGATCATGTGGCAATACTTAGCATTAAGGTTTATGTGGTACTATACCCATAAATAATGAGCCAGTGTGGTATAGTGGTTTGAGTGTTAGACTACAACTCTGGAGACTAGGGTTTGATTCCCTGCTTGGCCATAAAATCCACTGGGTGACACTGGGCAAATCACATGCTCTCAGCCTCAAGGGAAGGCAATGGCAAACCTCATCTGAACAAATCTTGCCAAGAAAACCTATTATAGGGTTGCCTTAGGTTCACCATAAGTCATAAATGACTTGAAAGCACACAACAACAAGAACAACAACAACCCCATAAATTAACTGCATGTCATCTCTCAATCACATAAAATCAACTACTGACTTCAGCATGGAACAAAGATTCAAGCTATGTCTACAGCTTTAGGCTTAGAGTATTACAATGATGGTTGATGGGTAGTAATGGGATGCAAGGGACCAATTTCAAACTACTTAACAAGCTTCTGCTCTGGGCCTGCACAAGCTCTTTGTAGTTTTAGATCTGCAAAAGGATTTTGGCAATACATAATGCTAGCTTTCACATGAAATTATATTTATTAATTTGTTAAATATAACAACTGCCTATTCAGTTCTGTGAGAATAGTTACTCTCCAAAAGAAAAGCCGCCTTTTCTTACCCATCTAAGATGAGACTCTCATATGCAGCTTTCTTGTCACACACAGGACATATCCAGGTGGGCTTCTTTTCATTCATTTGTAAGTAGAGAGCTGCATCAAAGCACTGCAGATGGGTACAAGTACCTGCACGGCAGGGAATTGTCAGCCTCATTTTTCCCAGCTGGTAAGCAGGTAAGGGGAGGACAGGATGAAAGAAGAAAGAGGGAGGAATTATTGATAGAGAATAGAGTAAGATACATTCAGTTATAATTATTTTTAAAGGACAAGACAAGGCCTTGTTTGTGAAAGACTCAAGAAATTATCATATAGTGAGTTATCTGGAGGGTGGATGGGCAGGTCTCCTAGAAAAAGTGGAAACTCCTTCTTGATCCATTTCCTCCCAAGTTATAGGATTCCTTGCCCGACAAACAGATTGCTCTCCATGAAACTCAGAGTAAAAATCTTTGCCATAAAACTTTCCCATCCAAAGGAGTACTGTTATGAAGTGCCACAGCAGTATCAATAGCCTTGTAAAAGAAGGAGAGATCATGCAGAACGGGGCATGCATACTCTTAGGGAATGGGCATTCAGATTTCAGGAGTGGGAGGACTCTACTAACTCTCCCTCTGGAATCCTGAAGGTTCCCCATCCTTTATTACAGCCAAGACATTGACCATTCTTAGTCCACAGAAATCTCTAGAGAGTACTACTGGCAGCCCACAAGGTTTTTTTTCGGGTACAGAAGCATTTTTTAAAGAAGAAGAGGAGGAGGAGGAGGAGGAGGAAAAAAGAAAGAAAGAAAGAACTGGAAGTGGTATCTAGTTACTTCCTGTCTGGAAAAAAAGGTGCCTCCCTACACAATTCTTCTGAAGTTGTCTACCCAGTCCCACATATAGAACATATCTGTCAGTGGGCTGTGGTATCTATCTGGAATTGTTAGAGAAATTTATTACTATATAGGTTGACTATCCCTTATCTGAAATGCTTGGGACCAGAAGTGTTTGGGATTTTGGAATACCTGTATTTTCATATATTTACATAATGAAATATCATGGAGATGGGACCTAAGTCTAAACAATAAATTAATTTATGTTTCATATACACCTTTTACACACAGCCTAAAGATAATATTATACTATATTTTTAATAATTTTGTGCATGAAACAAAGTTTGTGTAAATTTAATTATCAGAGAGTAAAGGTGGCACCGTCCCTGCTACCCACGAAACAAGTTATGGATTTTGGAGTATTTTGGATTTCAGAATTCCAGATAAGAGGGACTCAACCTGTATATATCACATGCGCCTCTAGATTTCTTATTACTGAATGTCTTATCAACCTCCTTTTAACTTTTTAGACAAGTCTGAATTCTATGCAAAGGTACACATTCCACATAACTGTCAACTATAGCATCTTGCATATATAATTATATACTTATTTATGGGGTTCATTTATTGAAGCCACCCCATAAATAAGCTTAATCAAAACAAAGCATTTTCTGGTAAAGAATAATTCATGATCTTTTTTCAGCTTCACTTACAGGACACATCAGTGATACTCGCAGACTGGTAGTAGCAATTTCACTGTCTGGGTCTGCTGTGAGTTTTTCTTTAACTATTTTTTTTTAAAAAAAGAAAAATATTATGAGACAGAATTACTGTTATTGTACAACAGTGTCATTTCATGGTCTACTTATTCTACTAATTTATAAACACAAAATAAACAAGAAATTAGACACGCTATGGAGTTTCAGGTTAAAACACATTTGAGTCCAACCCAGCAAGTCTATTTCTGGTTTCCCAGCAAGAATACATTTACCACATCAGATATGAAAGATTACTACATGTAGACCAGAGGATTAAAAGAGGTAAATAACCAAACATCTATACAACATTATACTGACAAGTTTAGCTGCTGCTTCTCTCCTATTCAGAAGGAAAAGAAGAGAGGAATGTGAGAGAATGCATATGAATTCCGAATGGCAGTCAGCTAGTTCTGAGACAGTTCAACTATGGCAGATAGTTTACTAACTTTGTTGGGCGACTTGACAACCTTGTCAAAGGGCAATACCTTTACCTTTAGAGCAAATCCAGAATCATTTGTAACTGTTCATACACAAATACAGGTTGTTTACTTGTAACTGAAGTTCTTTGAGAAGTCACTTGATCATTACACATATGATATCTGCCTCTGTGTGGAGCAGCTTCTCAAAACCTCCTACGTAGCTTAAATTTTGTGGGCTGTTCCTCCACATTAGGTGCCTGTCTGAGACACTATCTGCACAGTTCTAAAACTCAGCTGACACCATGACAGAAACAATGAGTCTTAAATCTGCCACCAAGAAGGATGGGTTGTATGAATGCAAAAATGGCCATTCAAAAAATAACAATTATAGTTAAGTACTGTAAATAGTATTTCTACATTACAGTCACTGTTCATGATACATATGAGAAAGAATATGTGATATATTCCCCCAAAAAAGTGCTTTATGTGTTCCTACATGGCAGGGGGTTGGACTGGATGGCCCTTGTGAACTCTTCCAACTCCATGATTCTATAATTCTAATAGCAAACCTAAAAGGTAAAGGTAAAGATATTCCCCACTGACAATGTTGTCAAGTCGTGTCCGACCACATGGGGCGGTATTCATCTCCGTTAATAATCCGAACAGCCAGCGTTGTCAGAGTCTACTCTGTGATCATGTTGACAGCGTGATTGCACAGAACGCTGTTCATCTTTCCACCGAAGTGGTACCTATTAATGTACTTGCATTTCTATGCTTCTGAACTGCTAGGTTGGCAGAAGCTGGAACTAGTGGAGAAACTGGAGCGTGTCCAAAGGAGGGCAACTAAAATGGTGAAGGGTCTGGAAACTAAGCCCTATGAGGAACAACTTAGGGAGTTGGGAATGTTTAGCCTGGAGGAGAGAAGGTTAATAGGTGATATGATAGCCGTGTTTAAATATTTGAAGGGATGTCATACTGAGGAGGGAACAAGCTTGTTTTCTGCTGCTCCAGAGACTAGGACCCGAAACAATGGGTGCAAGCTGCAAGAAAAGAGATTCCACCTCAACATTAGGAGGAACTTCCTGACAGTAAGGGCGGTTCGACAGTGGAATACACTCCCTCGGAGAGTAGTGGAGTCTCCTTCCTTGGAGGTCTTTAAGCAGAGGCTGGATGGCCATCTGTCAGGGATGCTTTGATTGGGAGTTCCTGCATGGCAGGGGGTTGGACTGGATGGCCCTTGTGTGGCCTCTTCCAACTCTATGATTCTATGATCCTAGTGATGGGAGCTCACCCCATCATGCAACACCTGGGCCTCGAACTGCCAACTTGCCGATCTTGCAATCAACAGAGTCTTAACCACTTGAGCGACCTTTATTAGGGCAGACAGACAAAGGGCCTTTTTGACAAGAATGGTCCTTTTTGACAAGAGTAGCAAAGGCTGCCTTTGAATCCAATCTATGAACTCTATTCTCTGAGCTGGACAAAAGTGGGATCTGTCCTTGTTGGCATATAGACCAAGCTGAATCAAGAGCCACAGTCATGTGGTTGACTCAAAAAAATTTCTGCATTGTTTGCATAACAAACAACCCAATGCCTATATGGGGGGGAAGGAAGGAAGCCTCTCTGGACAAGTTCTGCTGTTGGAATAGCCATAATTTTTGTGAACACATAACTTTTGTGAACACATGGAGTTCAGTATATAACATGAACCAAAGAACAGCAAGCTAGTAATAAACTAGTAATTATCTTTTTGACAAGTCTTTCCAATGCTTTGGCTCAATCTCCTTTCTTTAGGAGACAATATTGGCTAATGTGGCCATATAAAAATGTTTTGTGATGTTGTGGGCATTGACATCCCTTAGGTCCAGAACTGGACAGAAAACTCTGCCTCCTTGTAGAACTATGGGGTACTGAGATTAAAATCTGACTCTTTTAGTCAGATGCTACAGAATCTTGATGCCCCCTTTTAATAACAAATCTCCTCTAGCAGAGAGAGGTTCTTCTAATCTGAAAAAAACATCTGAAGTGATGATGTCAAATTCCATCAAGTACCCCTAATGGATGGTCAAGAGCACCTACTAATATGTAGTTATAGATTTTCAAGTGTAGAGTATTTTTACAGTCTCCAAGCTATGGAAGTGAAGACATGAACTGCAACTGTCTAGTCTCATATTGTCAAAGACATTAGTATCACTAGAACACTTCTTAGAATAATATTTCTGCTTCAAATTTGATCATTTTGGTCAGAGTCCACTTTCTCATTGGTTTTGAAAATTTCAAGGACACCAAGGCTATGTCCTCTATTCTGTTATGGGCACCATGATTAAGAGCTATATAACAAAGCCAGGAATGTCTACATAAAGAGGCAGCTCCCACAAGCATCTCACAAGTACACCCTGTGGCATGTTTGGCCATGTTGATCTGTGCCCTAGCAACATTTGCTGCCTTGGCAAAAAGAAATTTAAATAAAAACAGAGCATAATGGGTTATCTGGTGTGGATAT